GATCTCGTGTGTCATCAGAGTTAATAGCTGGAGAGGACACCCAGGGAAACAGTTGATAGGTAGACCCTGGTATGGAAATAAAGAGAATGGCATGGAACATAAATGCCAGCTGGACACAAGATATGGAGAGGATTTAGACAGAAGAACGGGATTGCTACGTTCTGAGACGTATTGCCAGCTCAGAAAGGGGAAATTAACTAGACATTGTATTCTGGGAGAAAGTGGACATGGATGTGACCTCATGTACCCTGGAGTATTCATGAGGTAGATGGAATCATCTACTCTGTAGTGCAGTGGCTATGTAGAGACAAGAAAAAATAGGCCTTCCCCGGTACCTCACCCACCTCCTGAAAACCATCCTAAAATGCCAGACTAGTATCAACCGTTTCCTCAATTCCCCTCTGTGGTACACTGAGCACCGTACACATATTTGCTGACTAGGCATGATCCGCAATATGGCTTATTAGAGTAGTTTCATACTTTGACCCTTTCAGGAGCCCAGAAGGGAAGTGAATCTCAGGATAGCTGAAGAGATTGAAGAACTCAATCGGACAAATGCCATTTGTGGTTTTGTTTAGTTTTGTTCTGAGAATGTCTTAATGTGCTATTATAGAGTTTTCATTGGGACACCATTGGTCTCCTGATAAGGGATCTTTTTTTGTTTTATATTTCTTCTTTTATACCCTTTATATAAAACTCTGGATCTGTGAGTATTTTAGGTCTTAAAAAGCTAGAGTTTTTGTTGTTGTTGTTGTTGTTTTAAACAGCCTTTTTACATTCGACAAGCATAGGAATCATAGCTTGTCACAGAATAGTAGCAAAATCCCCAAATAAAACAAAAAACTAAAATTGGAGATAACTCATTTTGGCTCCAATTCTGCCAGTAAACTTATTCACTTTTTCTTTTTCTATTGGTCAGACTCATTCAAAAATGAGTTTCACATGTTTTAATTCTTCATGTGGCTTTTTTTTAAATAAAATTTTATAAAAGCCAAAAAAAACCACAAAAACCCCAAAATCATGGTAAGGGCCATAGAGATGGTTTATAGGGCAAACGTGCTCACCATGCAAGCCTGATTTGAATTTGATCCCTAGAACCCGCTATTAAAAAAACAAGCCCGGCAGTGGTGGCGCACACCTTTAATCCCAGCACTCGGGAGGCAGAGCCAGGCGGTTCTCTATGAATTCCAGGCCAGCCTGGTCTACAGAGCGAGATCCAGGAAAGGTGCAAAGCTACACAGAGAAACCCTGTCTCGAAAAACCTAAATAAATAAACAAACAAACAAACAACAAACAGGATCAGGAGCGGGCAGAGGCTGGAGAAATTAGCTCAGCAATAAGAGCTCTTGTTGCTCTAGCAGAGGACTTGAGTTTGGTTCTCAGCACTCGTCTTGGGTGGCTTACAACCACCCCAACTCCAGCTCAGAGGGATTCGAGGTCCTCATCTCTGAGGGCACTTTGCCCTCGTGTGCACGTAACCACACACAGACGTACACGCACACAGAATTCAAAATAAGAATCTATGGTGGGGAGAGAGGTCGATTCGGGAACAGTGAGATCTCTTGGAAGCTTGTGGGCCAACTAGTCTGAGGTCTAGAGCAGAACAGCAGAAACAAGAGAGACCCAGGTAAAAAACAAGAGCCAGCTCCTGAAAGTTGTCCTCTGACCCCCATACATGCACATGTGCCCACACTCACACACACGCACAAATACACAGAGATATATTTTTTAAAATAATAAAAGTTAGTGAATAATATATAATGCTTTTAAACGAATTGAAATTATACATCATTAAAGTATATTGCAAATATATAATACTTTACTAATTAAAATTCTGCAATGGCTTCCTGCGTCCTAGAAACTTTTTTTTTTTTTTTTTGACATAGGGTCTCACTATATATAGCTCTGGTTGTCCTAGAACTCACTATGTATACCATGATGGCCTCGAACTTAGAGAGATCTTCCTGCCTCTGCCTCCCAGGTGCTGGGATTAAAGGTATGCACCGCTATGCCCTGCTCAGTGAACATGAACATGTTTAAGACAGTGGGCAAGGCTCTCTAAAATCTACCCAACACCAAGAACCTTTCTGTGTTTCTTTCACTGTTCTGTTTGGCCTTCTACTCTTTAATGGAAATGACTGTTTGCTATCCCATAATGATGCTCAAATGTTGGTGAAATGTCAGAAATTGAGATCGCTTTTAACCATGATAAAATTGTGGCGGGAGCACATTTATATCAGTGTTTTCCAAACTTTCCTGTGCATCAGTGTGGCCTATGACCTGGAGGGTTTGTTAAAACTCAGATTCGTGACTCCCATCAACAGACTTTCTGAATTTGTTTGGTCTCTGTTGGTGCTTAAGCCTGTGCACATCTAACATTTCCCTGTTGACACTGCTGGTCCGCCCCTGGGGGTGACATTTTGGAAATCACTAGTTTGTTAACTTTCACCGAAGTCGAATGAGAAAAGCACAAGTATGATAGGAGCTGCCCGTGTATAAGACGAGAACCACCCTTTGAAAAGGAAGCCGCCTTCCCTGCTCAGATCCTGGTCAAAGCCGAAGGGCTGACACCGCTGTCCATAGCTACACAGAAATCCCCCCCTGCCCGGGTCCCTTTTCTAGTCTCCTCCCCGACAACTTCCCAACCCCTGTTCTAATGCGGACATCTTGACCTCCATGAGTCTGGACGTAGTAGGCGCCTTCCTGTCTTGGAATACTTGCTCTGGGCATTCCCTCTGCCTACAACGTTTCTCACTGTCTTCAGTCTCGGCTCATCTTGCCCACCTAATGGTGACACCCCCATCCCTTCTTATCCTATTCAGTATAGCACTTGGTCAGCCCTCTTCCTGCTCTTCTGTGTGGCACTCTCCATCCTGCTAACCATGATTTAATCTTTCTACATTGGTAATGCCAGCACTTGCAACCTTCTTGCATATTACATATTTATCAACCGTCCTTACCGGCTTCTACTAGAATAGATGCTCCTCAGAGGCCAGGATTTCTGTTCTGTTCCCTGAGGCACCCTACGCTCTCAGCACATAATAGGCCCTCAATCGGTAGTCACCAAATGGATAGATGGGTGGACAAGTAAGTGAACACATTAGGTACACTGAACAATGTCGTATTTGAAGATATTGTTACACACATTAGAAAAGTTTGCCCATTTTCCTATGAGAGCCATCTAGGTTACTCAATGACAAGTTCTTTTTCCCTTCCTCTTGTATTTGATTTTTAGACATTTGTCTTAGTGGTCTGAGGCTATGGGATATGCACATACACACCCCCACCTCTTTAAACACGCCTGACACAAATGGGGTTGAACAGTCTCCAAATTGAAGCAATTCTGTAGGCAGTTCTTTTAGTCAGCACATATAGATAAGAATTTTTGTTTTAGTCCCAATAGACTTTGAAGATGTAACTACTTTTTTCTTAAAGATTTATCTATTTTTATCTTATGTGTATGGGTGTTTTACCTGCGTGTGTGTGTGTGTGTGTGTGTGTGTGTGTGTGTGTGTGTGTATACACCACATGTGTGCAGTACCCACAGAAGACAGAAGAGGGCATCAGGTCCTCTGGAGTTGGAGTTATAGACAGTTGTGAGCCACCATGTCAGTGCTGGGAACCAAGCCCAGGTCCTCTGGAAGAGCAGTCAGTGAGTGCTCTTAACTACTGAGCCATCTCTCCAGCCCCAGGCACAACTATTTTTGACGTATTAACTGTGTTTCTATGGTACGGGTGATGTGTTAAACACATTCTCTGATGAATTTATTGTATCTTAGTCCTCATTTCAACACGACACGGAATAATTTTGTATTTAAGAAATTGAAGACAGAAGAGCTTTTAGTAACCGGCATAGGATCGGAAACAGCCAGTTAGTAGCAGCGGAGTCACCTGTTAAAATGAGAGTCTGGATACAAGCAAGGATCTGGGGGAGGTGAGTATTCCTAGTGCAGTACTCCGAGGCGAGTGCAGATGTGGAGTTTGATGGAAAAGGTGAGCTCCACTGCTCTCTACCCTCCGCTGCTTAAAAGACAAAGTTTGCGACGAGGAGCCCGCTAAACTGCTCCTGGAGATTTCACCGTTTCCTTGAAGTTCAAAATATGCTTTTTAAAGAGCAGTTTGTTTTTTCCTTTAAAAAAGAGGGGTTGGGGTGGGATGGGATGGGGTGGTGTCCCAGAATGCTCCTTCCCTGTTGTATTGCCCCCCGTCCAATCACTGATTTCAAGCCAGAACCCGGAGTTCTCAATATAAAGGACATGATCATCGACAGCCAATGAGAAGCAGGTGGTTTCTTTTGTCTAAGAACTTCTGGTTGAGAGGTTTGCGGATCCCAACGTGGGTATTTAGGCTTTGCATCCCACCGGACAAGGCTTTGGCTCTGCATGTATGCTTCAAACTCCCGTGTGGCAATGCCACCCACAGGAGGCAGACCTTTTAAAATCCTATTCTCCCCTCAAGTAAACTTCTGGGAGCTGTGCCAACAGAGAAGCAGAACTGAGCCTGTGAATTCAGTGTTGGAAGAGAGAGCATAAAATTACTATGTCCTGAATTAGCCATGCTAACAGGATACACTGGAGCAATGTCAACTGAAGTACATCCATCATGGCATGAAAACCCTTGATTTTTGTGTTTTTTCAGGTGTTTAAGGTCATTGGGCAGGTGAATGGTAGCACACCCACAGTGTAAGTGACCACAATATCCCATCAGTATATTTTTGCTTATTGTGTACTCATATTTCCCACTTCATCACTAAGTCTCATGTGGCACCAAGGAAATTTCTTTATCAGGGGCAAGAAAAGGCGATTCCCTTCCTGAGTCTTGGACTGTTTTGACTGAACAGGTTGAAAATTCTTGGCTCCTATCGATAAGAAATGAGCTGGTATCTTCCAAGTGTAATGTCAGAGGATTTCATAAACTTTCTCCCTTGGGCCAGCCAAGGGGAGGGCAGTGAGATACGTCTCGTTTGCAGAGATGGCCACGGGCACCGCGCACGTGCTTACCTTTACAAGCATCTGGGGCAGAGAAGGGTCTCCTGAGGTCGCGGTAGAAACCCGGCTTACAGCGTTGGCAGTTCTGGCCTTCGGTATTGTGCTGGCAGTTGCTGCAGACGCCACCGCTGCGATTCCCTGAAGCCTCCCACACACCGATGTCGAAGTGACAGGTATCGGCGTGCCCATTGCACTTGCAGGCTGGCGATGAAACAGCCGAGGAGGGACATTAAAAAAAACACAGCGACGGGTTCTCCAATGGTCAACATGTCACCATAGGATAACGTCATCGCTACATTTAAATTGTATTTATTTACTGGAGAGTATATAGCACAGGAATAAAAACAATACAAAAAGGAATGTATTAAGAGCTATCTTGCTTTCCTTTGATCCGAGTACTACACTTCTTATCTAGACTTCCTTTTTTCATTGTATATTGGTATTTTATTTATTTATTTATTTTTTCCCGAGACAGGGTTTCTCTGTGTAGCTTTGCGCCTTTCCTGGGACTCACTTGGTAGCCCAGGCTGGCCTCGAACTCACAGAGATCCACCTGCCTCTGCCTCCCCAGTGCTGGGATTAAAGGCGTGCGCCACCACTGCCCACCGTATATTGGTATTTTAAAGCGTTAGTATATGCCTGAAGGTCATCGTGATGGTTAGTGTTAATTGTTAACTGGACAGAATCTAGACTCCTTGGGAAATTGGCCTCAGCACGCCTGGAAATTATCTTCATCATGTTAATTGATGTGGGAGGACCCATCATAATTGTGGACCAAGGCCAATCCTTGAGCGGGGAGTTTGGACTGCAGGAAATGGAGAAAAGAGCTGAGCACCAGCATGCATTCCCCGTTGCCTGTTTCCTGATTGTGGATGCCTGGTGACCACGGCCTCAAGTTCCTGTACTCGACGTTCCTGCCGTGATGGACTGTACCCTTGAGCTACAAGCCAGAATAAACCCTATACATGGCTTTTGTCAGAGTATTTAGTCATAGCAACTGGGAAGGAAATTAAAACATCTCTCAAAGTGAAGATATATCCATTCAAGCAAAGCTGTTCTGGTTACCCTGTAGACTGACTGAGGTTGGCATCTATTTTGGAAAGAGGTTTGAGAGGTCACCAGTTTTCCTCTTCGATGGTGACACTTGACTATTTCTATTCCTGCTACTTTCTAAGGCTCAGTGGGTCTCTTGCCTCTGTGGGAGAAAACTTAAGACTCATGGCATTATTTGAAAATAACAATGTATATTGCAGATACAAACTATAATTCATGCTCACCCATGAGGCTGGGAAGAAATGTCTGATGGACAGTGGACAGAGCCTAAGTATCTTTCTTTTGGGGTACTAAGATCAAACCTAGGGCTTCACACATGCTAGGTGCTGTGTGTGTGTGTGTGTGTGTGTGTGTGTGTGTGTGTGTGCGCGCGCGCGCACGCGCATGCATATGTACACACCACTGCACACGTGTGGATATCAGAGGACAATTTGCAGGAATCAGTTCTTGCCTTCCACCATATGCATTCCAGCTGGAATTCAGTTGTTCTTCTCTTTCCTCTGTGTGGAGCCTGGGAATCGAACTCAGGTCATCAGGCTTGGTGGCAGGCACCTTTACAAGTTGAGTCTTACTGTTGGCCCACTTTTTTACTTTTTATTTTGAGACAATCTCACTTGGTTGCCCAGGTTATCCTTGAACTCACTTTATAGCCCTGGCAGCCTTTGATCTTGGGAGTCTCCTGCCTTAGCCTTCCAAGTAACTGAGATCACAGGGCTGAGCCTTCAGGGTTAGTTTGAGTTATCTTCTATGGAGTAACATTCTCAGCTGTTGTAACTTGGTGAATATAAGGAAGTCTCCCATTGAAGCCTCAGTTTATAGAGGAGGCCTCGGTATTCCTTATGTAATAATTTCCCAATGGCATCTCTAAGCTTATCAGTCTTTAGTTCCCCGTGACATGTCTCTGTGTCCATGTGTATTTAGATATGCAGTGAGTTTCCATGGGAAGGACCACAATGGCACTCTAGGAATTTAGGAGACATTCTTTAGATTCACTTGATAAGTGATTTAGGATAAGAATCCAGATAGCCCCCTACCCCCACCCCGGAAGTCATCTGTATTTGAAAATGCTAGTGCATTTTTTTTCATTGTTTCCTTGATGTGTCGTGATATTTTTCCCAGACTCATATCTTTAAAAGACATAAGGTAATTTGATATTTATGCTAAGAGGAAATCCTTTACATTTCTTAGAAACAAATCCGTTCTGATTCCGGATTGTGTACGGGGAGAGACTTCTCGGAAATTTATTCACGGTACAGACAGTTTCAAAGCAGGCAATGGGGACTGAGCGGGCAGGAATGTACTATTTGCTTGGACACTTTGGGGGACCCAAATGCTGTCCCCAAGACCCTGACATGGTACAAACATGAGCAGACACAAGAGTTACAAATCCTCCTAAAACAGGCTTGGGACTGGGCACATTTCTGTGACCACGTGTTTCTCAGAGCATCTGACCACTTGAATGATTACCCGCTACCACTGGACGAGACTCTGAACATTTAAACTGAAAATAGAAAAATGGTTCATTTTCCCATGTTCTGTCTTCCCTTATCTAATCTCCAAATGCAAACCCAAAATTAGTCCCAGTAAAACAATCCCGTTCTCGACTTCCTGGTTTAATTGCAGGTCTGATCCATCAGTGAGGACAGTAGCTAATAGGACCCTGAAGACTTGGGATCGAGTCCTCATCCCTTCATTCCCTAACTCTGGCAAGACATTTAATCTTACTGATTGATCGGCTCCACTGGGTTGTTTTGTGCACTGAATTTAAAAGAGCTGTTCTCATGGTTATCATTCCTATCACAGCTGGGAGAGCTGTTGGACACTGTCGTCCTCAGTCGCTCCTGTGTCTACACATGTTTGTATCATGTCAGGTTCTCAGGGACAGCATTTAGGTCCTGCAAGGATCCAAGCAAACAGCACATTCTTGGCCTCTCGGCCCTATTGGCCGCTTTACAAACCAACTTGTTTCCGAGGGTTGGAGTCGTGCCGGGCGGCGATATGGGTATGTCTGTGCCTCGCTTCTGTCACCCACCACTCTGTATTGTGTGTCAGGAGATAACGAGGCATTCACAGATAAGGGGAGTCTACAAAGAAAGCTTTTGAGTCGTGGAGGTTGCTACTCACTTCTGCACTCGTTCGGAGCCCCGGTTCTGCCGTCGGCCGCCTCCCAGGGCCGGTCGTTGTACGAGGGAGCACAATGCTCACAGTGGCTGCCGGCTGTGTTGTGTTTACACATACACTTCCCGTGCACCTACAAACGACAGTGAGAGCTGTGAGCACCCGCCGCGTCGCTAAGGAAGAAATTCCCCCTTCCCTCCACCAGCCGCTTTTAAGTCGGAAGACATTAATTCACTTTCTTGAAGAAGTTAGCTAGCATGAGGGAGAATTCTTTTAGTCTGTCTCGTGGTTAACTCAAAAAAAAAAAAAGAAAGAAAGAAAGAAAAAGAAAATAAAATAAGAAAGAATACTTTTTCTTGACTCTAGAATCTATGAACCTAATGAGAAATTCTGTGGTATTGGGTAAATATTTAGATATATCCTTAGTTTTTAAAAAAATTCTTAGCACAAAATAATGCATCTTTACGGTAGAAAATTTAGAAATTTGTAATCTTTTCAAAAGACATTAATATCAACATTTGAATATGTACACACACATATTTCTAGTGTCTTAAAATGCAGTGAAGGCCTTTCTCGACAAACATGTCAAGAGCATGTAGCTTTGTGGTAGAGTGTGTGCCTCGCTAACCACTGAACCATTTCCCCAGCCCCGTTATGACTTTTTACTTCTCTTAAATGTATTTCCTAGAAGTAAAATTGATCGAAGGGCCTAATAAATATTGCTAAGACACTGAATACATTTTTTTAAATCATAATTACTGGGCTTCTCTTTTGACCCCACAACTGAATTCTTGGGGGTCATCTAAAACAGTGTGTTTCTCAGAGAAGAATGCTTTAGTAGAATTCTTAAGCAAATATTTTTGGCTCTTGTTTCATTGATAACATTAGTGTCACCTAGTAGGAATCACCATGGAGTCCAGTGCCAAAGTGCATCTCTGAATGCTGATACAGTGACCACAGATATGAAACTTTGTAAAGCAGCTCTGAATGGGGTCCATCAATACGAATCTGCAAGTTTCTCTTGAGTATTTGAAATAATTCAGCATAAAGGTGACGAATCATGTCAATCAGCTAATGAATATTTATTGATGACCTAGAAGGGACCATCACTATGGCACACTGAGTTTGGTACACAAAGCGTCTCCTTCCTGTTTATTTTTACTTATGTGTGTATGCGAATATATGTCACATGTGTTCAGTGCCCTCAGAGGCCAGAAGAGGGCGCTGGAGTCCTAGAGCGGAAGTTACAGGCAGTTGTGAGCTTCCTGTCCTGGGTCCTGGGAACTGAACCCGGGTCCTCTGGAAAAACCAAAGGCACTTTTAACTGCAGGACCATTTCTGGAGCCACAGCATTTCTTTCCTTTAAGAAAGGAGTTGGTGGTGGCTGGAGAGATGGCTCAGTGGTTCAGAGCATTGGCTGCTCTTCTAGAGGCTTGATTCCCAGCACCTACGTGGTGGCTCGCAACCATCTCTAACTCCAATCCCAGAGATCTAAGACCTTGTGGCCTCTGTGGGCAACAGGCACTGCACGTGGTGCACATACAGGCAACACATTAATAATAATAATAATAATAATAATAATAATAATAATAATAATAATAATAATAAACAATAAAGGATTTGGGTGGTTGATGAGATAGTGGTTAGGAGCATAGACTGCTTTTCAAGAGGAGACACAACCCAAGTTCAATTCCCAGCATCCGTATCAGGAAGCCCACAGCTGCCTGGAACTCCAGCTCCAGAGAGATCCAACACCTCTCGCCTCTGCATGTGCATGCGCTCTCGTGTGTGCGTGTGCCCATGGATGTGTGCATGCACACATATACATGTAATTAAAAGTAAAAATAAGTTTTTATAAAGGGAAGGATATAGTACCGTCGGAACAAAGAGATTTATGCAGGAAAATGCAGGAATAAACAAGACAATAAATACATGCAAAAGAATGAAAGCGATGTTGGAATTCAAAAGATTTAGAATTGGTTAGAGGTTGACAGATGTGGAGGGCATGACGAAAGGCATGGGGTTCGATCTGGCCTTGATGGATGGGCTGCAGTTCTAACAAGCTGAGAGGAAGACACGTCCCAGGACAGGTAAACATTGTAAACTAAAGTGTAAGGGAGATCTATGAGGCAGTGTGGTCTTGGAAGCTGGGTCTTGAAGGCTACACAGGATTTTTCATCCTGGATGGAAAAGAAGATGATGAGAATTGCGAAGGGATGTCCAAAGAACAGTCCGTAAAGGAGCCAGAGTATGTATTAGAGGCCTAGGCTTGGTCCAGATCATGGCATTCATCAAACATCAGCTCCAAGAGTCTGGAATTTACCCTGGAGACAGTGCAGACACAGTGAAGATTTTTTAAGTAAAAAAATAACTGGGAAGTGTGTTCGTTACACTTCTCTTCACCTTCAAGAAAAAATCTTTCTACTTTCTTCTTCTTGCCTAATGATATACGTTTTCTTTCCCTGCCTCTTGTATTGTTTTGTCGCCCCTGCTCCCTGCTTATGTCTCCCACCAGCCAGTGACACCACCTGTATTTTCTGGTAACATTTGTGGTTTTATTTTTTATTTATTTGAGACAGGGTTTCTCTGTGTAGTTTTGGAGCCTATCCTGGATCTCACTCTGTAGCCCAAGCCGGCCTCGAACTCACAGAGGCCTGCCTCTGCCTCCCGAGTCCTGGGATTCAAGGTGTGAGCCACCACTGCCTGGGGCACATTTGTGGTTTTAAAAGGTAATTATTTTTATTCCTTGTTTGTGTCCTTTCGAACTATTTTAGCATCCACTTATCAAGGGCTATATAAAGATGATATTGAAAGGTACTGTTAATTTTCCTTACAAGAACTCAGTTGTTGCTAAGAGTCAGTTTATCAGGTTTAGTCTTGGGATGTCCAAACCCTATGTTTAATTTCACCTAACTCACAGGTTATTCTGTCCCACAAATTCTAGGCCTCAGGAGGTCGCAGACACTTGGTGGTAACCTCATCAAACATTCACGTGTATCACAGGATAACATTGACAGTTCTGTTCCATCCAGAACATTCCTTTGTTCCCATCGGCCATGGACTGAAATGGACCTCCCAGGGTCTGAGGATGCTGGGACAGCAAATTTTTCCGCACATAGAAAAATTCAAGGAGCTGTCATTTTGAGAATTACCAAAAATAGCTGTAAATCATTACCCAGACAGTTTGAAACAAGAAATCCTTCCTCAGCGATACGACTATTGCTGTTCAAGCTTGAAAGATCACCCACTATTTGATGCTCGTGAAAAATTCGCAAGTAAAACTGGGTCTTCCTTGGAGAGCAAACAGAAAAAGGAAACCTTAGTAACAAGTTAAACATAACTCCTATTTGGTACATAAACAGGAACTAGGCAAAGAGTGAGAAAACGGAGTTATGTACTCAAGAGGTCACCTAACACCGCTGTCTGGTTGTCTAATTAGAAAATGAGGAATGAATCTTGACCACAAAACCACAACTTCTAATTACCGGAGGTGTCTGAATATTGTAGGAGTTTCAGAGATGCCTCTGTTAATGTTAAGAATACATTTCTCTGTCAATGTCCAAAGAATTCCCCCCCCCCCATTCCCTCGAGACAGGGTTTCTCTGTGTAGCTTTGGCTGTCCTGGAGCTCATTGTAGACCAGGCTGGCCTTGAACTCACAGAGATCCACCTGCCTGCCTCTGCCTCCTGAGTGCTGGGATTGAAGGCATGTGCGACTTCCTCCCAGCCGAAGTTTTTATAATTACATACAATTCTATTTACCACTAAAATTAGCCTGTTTTCTACTCATTTTTAGCACATTCCTCATAGAAAGGTACTTGTGTAACTTGTGAAACAAGTCGTTGGAGGAATTACTGGACCAGTGTGTTCATTATGAGCTGTGCCATTTTGTTACAATAATTGTATATTAAAATCAGATGGACAGGAAAAGGAAAGTATCATCTTTTCCCACTTGAGGCTGTACACGTAAGAATTTAGGCGGGGCCCCAAATCAGTCACGATTGCCTTTCCGATTCATTGTCAGAAGATTGGCCTGGGAGAGCAACGTTCTGTTTTTCTTTTTTCTTGGTTCATTTTGACTTCCAGTGGTCAACTGTCATGTGGTTGACATTGTCATTGGTCAGAGCAAGAGATGGTGGGATGGCGGGAACCTGGTTACCGATAGTATTAAGTGCTTGTGATTGAACAACCATTTATTTATTTAGATGTAAATTTTTTTTTTTTTTTTTTTGGTTTTTCGAGACAGGGTTTCTTTGTGTAGCTTTGCGCCTTTCCTGGAACTCACTTGGTAGACCAGGCTGGCCTCGAACTCACAGAGATCCGCCTGCCTCTGCCTCCCGAGTGCTGGGATTAAAGGTGTGTGCCACCACCGCCCGGCTTAGATGTAGATTTTTAAATGTAGATTTTTAAAAAAAGATTGATTTTATTGTATATATATATATATATATATATATATATATATATAAATATATAAATTAATCTGTGTGTCTGTACATGGGTATGTACACATGTGAGTGCTGGCACCTGCAGACTCCAGAAGAGGGTGTCAGATCCCCTGAAGCTGGAGCTAACAGGCACTTATGAACCTCTAAATAAGGAGCTGGGAACCAAATTTGGGTCCTCTGCAAGAGCAGCACATACTCTTAACCACTGAGCCACCTCTCCAGCCCAGAGATGTTATAGAATATTTAAATATTAGGTGGAAGATTGGCTTGGGTGACCTTTAAAAAACTTTTGGGGTCCTTAAGAAAACTGAAGCAATATCAAGGCCTGTGTCTTTGCACTTTGGACTCTGTTCAACTGCAGACAGTGAGTCACAATCCACAGTCCTTTCTGGACTGTCAGGGGGTTCTGTCCCCTCTCACCAATGTCAGAAACTTCTGACATGAAACACAGAAGAGCCAAGAGCACATTTCTTATTTCTTGCCCTAATGTACATAGCACAGATAAATGAATGAGCATGAACAGTCCGGAGATGGCGCTTCACTTGGCTTAGGGACTGCCAAAACCATCTTAAAGATTGTTCTAATGATTTCTCCCCAATAGCCATGCCCTTGGTTACCTAGTGATGATGTCCCCCATGGACTTTCACCATTTCAAAAGGGCTAGTGTTTCACGAGACTCAACATATGCT